GCATTTCGTTCCCTTTGCCGGGTAACCAAAGCAACGGGTGAGTCCTGACCGGCCCTCACAGGCCCCGTCTCAGTCCTGTTGCCACTGCCCACGAAGGCTCGGTTGGTATTTACCTCCACAGTACTCAGCAGGACCCGGACCGAGAAGCAGTTTCTGCGGGCTCCTTAGCCCTGGGCCAGAGCAGTTCCGGGAGCCGGAACTCGGCCGCTCCGTGCTCGGTGTATGCTCTGATAAGAGCAGGCTCCAAGAAGCAGTTTCCGCGGGTTATTTAGCACTGAGCCTGAGTAATCTGTCTGCAAGCCGCAGGCGAATGGCAGCCTCAAAGTAAAATTTTTTAAAGTATACGATAGTATATAAAAAGTATCTTAGTAGGAATTTTTATAGATGGGTTGGTAATTTGAAATATTCATGCCTTATAAACCATGCCAGATCAGAAAAAATGCTTATTGTGTACCTCACAGTGAGAGCATGAGATGGACACAGAGTAGTTGTATCAGATGCTGAAGAAATTTTATTTTGGAACAAATACCCTACTATAGGTACATAGATACAAAGCTGTCTGCCAAGACATACGTTTATGGAACTTCTTCCCTCCAGAGAGAAATGTACACATAGAAGTACTTAAAAAGGAGGGTTCTGACTCTTCCTCTAGATTCTAAGAGAAAAGGAAATGAGATAATAAGAGGCAGAACTGCAGTAGCATCTCTGGAACTAAGAGATGACCTCAGAACCAGGCCCAACCAGTATTTGAGGGCCTCCTCGACTGTGAGAGGTAGAATGAGGGCAGGATTTCATTTTCCTCCATGGAGGCTTAACCACTAGCGACTTCCCTCACTTTGGTCAAACAAGGAAGCCACAAGGCTACAGATACTGATTCTGCCATGCAGGAAGACAGTCCTGAACAAAACAGACAAACACACACTACTTCATGGAGCTCACTTTTATAAACTAACTAATAAACTAAATACAATTGAATAATATAATAGATATCCTGGTGTGGCCTCACAGGAAAGCCTCACTATGAGGCTGTGCAGAGGTCTAGGACAGCAGCACTGCAGGCAGGGAAGCGGGAAAAGTACCTAAGCACACAGCAGGCCTGGAATGGCCAAGGAACAGGGAGGAAGCCAGAATGGCTGGTGCAGACTGAAGAGAGCAGGCAGAGATGGAAGGCAATAGGCAATAAGGCCAGAGGGGGACAATGGGAACACTGAGATCAGGAAGAGGATGCAGAGTGAGAGCCCCACAGGCCATTATAATAATGATCACCAAGTTCAGAGGGCAAGGAGAGTTCTGGGGAGCAGCTGTGGCAGAAACCACTCCAACTATTTCATCCCCTACTGTGGGTACTAGGTCTCATTCATCCATCACCAAGCCAATTTCTCGCCATGATAAAACCACGAAAGGCTAGCAAGTGTTTCGCAACTCAAACTCAGTCAAGGCTGGGGGAAGGGGACACCTAAGGACACAGTATGGGCTCCTCAGAGAGCAGACTAAGTTCTCTGCCAACACAAGCATCAAAGGCACCAGCATTTGAACCTGGGTTGTTATATGGCATGTCAGCAAGACCCTTAACAGTGCATACCTAGATTCCAAGCATCAGATTTTATCTGCAGGGCCCCAAAGGACAGAATGACGGCAACCAGTGAAAGAATTTCCACAACTTTGCAAAATGGGTGGGCTGTTCACAGGCAGGGCACCTGACCAAAAGGCTGCCAGTGCCTATAACCACCATCTGAAGTGGAGGCCACAGGACCCAAGTAAGCCCAGGAGAGGCCAGCTCAAGAGCACCTTTTAGTGCCTGCCTACCTCAGAGAGCCCAAGACTCTGGGTACAGCAGAAAAAAACCGAGGAAAAACATAAAAACCTGAAAATGAAACAACCTGAACAGTCAATTCAGAATGCTAGGGGGAAAAAAGTCAAAATACACCTACAGAAAACACACACTACTTCATGGAGCTCACTTTTCTAAACTAACTAATAAACTAAATACAGTATTAGGAAATTATACAAATACCAAATCTGATTCCAAAGGAGAAAGTCTGATTATTACTGAATCAGTAATAGAAGAAAAAAAATGAAAACTGTACATTGTACTATCTGTGAGTGAAAATGAAAAAACACTAAAATCCAAGTAACTAAAACCAGTGGCTTAAAACATAAATATGACAAGAGGAGCTCATTGTAGGGATTCTAGAATATTTACTATTAGAAATTCATTAGTGAAATTTACTATGTTAATAGTTCAAAGGAGAATAAAAGTCATATGATCAACAGTTGTCCAAAGATATGAAACGGCATTTAACAATTACTCCTCATTTAAAAAATAATAAAAATCCAACTAATCTAGGAATAGAAAGAATTATCTTTAACCTATAACAATACATAACAAAAACCTTCAGTACCAGCATTCCCTGGAGGAGACTGGAGGATCCCAGTTCCTTCTTTCCCTCTCTTTTTACCTCCCAACCATAAGGTGAACAGTTATGCACCATGTGGTCCTGCCATGATGTGCTCCTCACTAAAGACCCAGAATATTATGGCCAACTGACCGTTGACTGGAACCTCTAAAATCATAAACCAAAATAAATATCTTCTCCTAATAAGGTTATATCAGGTATATGTTATAAATGATCGGAACCTAAAACATGAATGAAAATGAAAATAAAATAAATCAGAATTTATGGGACACCCCTAAAGCAGTAGTAGGTAGAATACACTATGTCTCTTCATTATCAAAGTTCCTGAAGCAATGACTTCAGTTTTCCTATTTAAAAAGCTAAAAAAGGAAAAGCAAATTACAAACCTGAAGAAGAGGAAAGAATAAAAATCTGCATACAAATCAATGAAACACAAAAGAACATCAAAGAGAGACCAATTAAACCAAAAGGTGGTTCTCATAAGATCATTAAAATTGACAAGTTTCTAGCCACACTAACCAGAAAAAAAGAAAAGACACAAACTAGCTATCAGGAATCAGGGGGCATCACTACAGATCCTACAAATATTAAAAAATAATAATGAGGGACAATGAACAACTTTATTCTAACAAATTCAACAAGTGAGATAAATGAACAAGTTCCTTGAAAGACACAAATTATCAAAGCTCACACATGAAGAAATAGATAACATAAATATCCCTGTAGATACCAAAAAAATCAAAATTATAGTTAAAATTATTCCCTCAAGGAAAGCTGCAGGCTTTGATAGATTCATAAGATTCTATGTAAAATTCTCCAAAACTCCAAGAAAAAGGAAGACTTCCCAACTGATTCTACAAGACCATCTGTGACCTGAGGCCAAAATTACACAGATATTACAAAACAACTAAAAGACAAAATGGAAGAAAAGATACAAAGATTAAATAGTCACTAAAAATCTTAATGACAAATGTACAAAATTAGTATGAAGAAGATGCTAAAACACTCCTAAAAGACATATAAGTATTTTTAACAAATTGAAGGGCTTTCCACATTCTTGGGTGGAACTATTCCACAACAAAAATGTCAAAGCATCTCATGTTAATATATACATTTGATATAATTACAATAAAATGCCAAAAAGCAAAGGAAAATATAGAAATCTTGAATCAAAAGGCAAGGAGGGCTCGAAGACTAATGGAGAAGCCAGGTGTATGCAGCACACCTGAATCCCAGCGACTCAGGATGCTGAGGCAGGAGGACCATAAGTTAGAGGACAACCTCAACAACTTAGTGAGACCCTATCTCAAAATAAGAAATAAAAAGAATGTGGGATATATCTCAGTGGTAAAGTATCCCTGAAGGAAAGGGAAAGGGAAGAAAGTGAAAGGAAAGGAAGACAGACAGGCAGACAGACTAATGGAGGTGAATCCAAAGAACACAGAGCAGACCCCAATGACCAAATTGGCAACAATTTTAGCTTCAAAAAGAATAACATCTGTAACTTTTTATAAATTATTGTATAAATAGACTTACCCAAGAATCCAGAGAGACACTAAACATGAAAAAAGAAAGGAAGGAAAGAGAAAGAAGTATGAAAAACAGTTCCACTGTAGGAGGTAACTACACATCATTTTCTTAATCTGAAAGTTGACACTTAAAATGAAAAGAATTAAGCATCTACCTGCCTTCACCCAAGTGATAAAACAAAGTACCTTATAAAATCTCAGCTAGAAAATATAGAAATAATGACATAATTAGAAATCCAGCATTTTCTAAATTCAAAAAAAATTAGGCAAGGATCATTAATGGATGTCAAGTTCATTAGGTAAAAAGCTTTTGAGGAACAGTGTATCTGGTAAAGAATGGCTTTATAATGAGAGCTGTAGTGGTCAGTTTAACCAAAAGAAATTCAGCAATACTAACAGTGAGATGACCCGACATTATATGCCTCTTAATATGATGCAAAATGAAGGAGATATAATTTCCCATATAAAAAATCCTTATCAAAAATATTAAACTCAATTATATACAAGTATTTACATCAAATTCCATGTGTACAGTATACAAAAGAATGAAAAATCAGAATACAGATATTCTCTTTTCTTTTGCTTAGCCTCAAGTCCCCTCCTCCATCCCTGGGTCTCCCTGGCCTCTTCTCAGCTTTGGCAAGTGGGACAACACTTAACTCAGCACACACGAGAGAAGGCTAGCCTCTCTTTGTTCTCATCCTGGACAGGTACTGCATCAGCTCTGTTGGCACACTGACCAAATCCTCAGAGAAAGAAGGGAAAAGGGTGCGGGGGAGTGCAAAACAATAAAAAAATATAAGCAAAGAAAATGAGACCACATCCAGAAAGTAGAAAGTGACGGTGGTGAAGGAGTCAAAGCCAGATGCAAAAGAGATTCACATTCACGAAGCCAAGGAATCTCACAAGTCCAGAGTGAGATGGGGTCAGGGAACATAACTGTGTCAATGGATTACAAAATGACCAGTTAGGAAAATGATTCTTAGCCCCAGAAATTAGTTCCATATTCTCTACACCTTTTACTTTCATGGAACAAAAATTAAATTAACTTCACCTTTCTTGGTGAAGAGATTGCGAAATGTACCACACAGGTAGAAAACTCCACCGCCGTGCATGTCAACATGGAGTTGGTAGCCATGCAACCCGTACTCTGGACTGTCATCCAAAAAGGGACTGTGAAGAGGCAGCTCATAGGGCCTGAAAAGAAAAACAAAACACACATAAATCTGTCAACACCAGAGATGAAATACTTGGGTTGAAATTACTTCTAAAACAATTAGCATTCATTCAAAGCATTATCTTTTACGAATGAGACACTATAGAGACACCAATAATCTTTAATACCATAAACCCAAAAGAACTGTTTCATGTTCCTTTCACCAATTTCTATAAAAACAGGCACATTTATGAGTGCCAAAGGTACCCATAGGACCACCATGATGAATGTATTTCTGAGATGGATCCCAACATCAGTTCTACAAAGGTAGAACTGCCTTCAATGTTCTCAGTAACCAGAAACCGGGGTACTCAGCAAGGAAATGCATCAAACAGCAGACCTACAGATTAGGGACTCAGGCAAAACTGAAGCCAAGATGATCAAAGTTTTGCTCTATAAGAAAAACCTTACTATAAGGTAGCACTCAAAAGCACCCAGGAGCTTTTCAGACAATAAAAAATAAAAATAAATGAGTAAGGGAGTGTATTAGTCCAAAGAGGAAGGTTAAGAGCTACAGGGAAATGGAAAGCATATTCCCCAATGAAGGACATTCAAATGCATTAAAAGATACCCAAACAAAATAAATCTGCAGACCAAATTCATCCAGAGGGCCCTTAATGTGCGTGTCTTGCAAGATATGAAAATTCACAGAAGTGCAAGAAACTGAGGGATCAGCTGGCAGCATCTTGCAGCAGTGAAGCATTCCTATCTCCATTAACAATGTTATATTAGGTACAAAATCCTTAACTAGGGATACATAAAGCAAATATGTACTCATTAATAATCCAACTATGTTAGCAACAGCTAAAGCACTTATGCCTGTTGGCTTGTGTCTACCGATTAGAAGAATATCTTTGTAGCTATTGTCAAATATTAAGATGGCATCAACTTCTAACCCTTTATATTGATGGTATAAAAATTCAATTCACCCATAGATACATACACAGAGGCTGAGCCTAATGTGCTCCTCTCCACAAGGTGATGAAAATGAAGATTTGCCATGATAAAAGCCAGTTCTTCCTCCTTCTGAAAAGTTAATTAAAAAGAATACATTTTTCAACTGAAATATTTTAATATTTCACAAGGTCGTTGTGAAGATCACAGCACATTCATCTTGCAGATAGATGTGGTTTCTAATAACTAGAAGATCACCATGGCACAAATACGTTATTACTGCTAATATATTATTACTATCTAATAAGACTTATGTGTCACACTGACAGCTGGACCACAATTCATCCAAATAGGCAGAGCATGAAGTACCAAAAGAATTAACATCCTAGGACTTGGGAAACATCAAAATACTCTACTATACATGATGAATGCAAATTATAAATATATACATATATATATTTATATATTTGTGATTGCAAATATGTATAAATGTATATATATAAATATACATACATGCATATGGTCAATTCAGGGCTGTTTCGAACTCTTGTCCAATATAAAGAGAATACTGGTAAGACTTTCTCAAGTACTAGATTAATTCAACAAATACTAAACATTACTGGCATAATGTTCCTCTCTCAAGAAAGTACTTGATTTAGCAAATGCAGTGAGAGTGATTAGATTCAGCTTTTTCTCATGCCCGTTAGGCTGAACAGAAAATGTGACTATTTGGGACTCATCCATCTCTCTTCAGATTCATGGTTGATGCTGACTGGTGTAGACCCTCACAAACAGTAAACCTTCAAATACCAGGCAGAAGACAAGCAGATCAACCACAGTCTTCTTAACTCTATAGGCCAACACAGATGGATGGTCAAGTCATAAAATGTAAAATAAAAAAAACCCTTTCCTCACCCACAAGTTACCTTCAGAGAGAAGGGGATAGAGGAAAAGAAAAATGGACAGCCATAGGAGATTGAGAAAAGAAAAAAGTGCCACAAGATGATACTCTATGAAAATGGAGACCTTGATTCTGTCTCATCAGTGTATACTGATGCACACTGCTATTCTCAAAATAAAGTCTGTTAACTCCCTTAAAACATCCACAGGCCAAAGACTTAAATTTGTATACACAGAGGTATGTTCTGCTTTTTACTCTGTGACTGCCAGAAAATAACCCCCAGAGGAGGAGCAAGCAACCAGCTTGACTTGGCACAACAAGAAACCTATGTAAAAGGAAAGGACAACTTCTCAAACACTTGACCCTGAAAAGCAAATTATATCCCATGCTACATCACAGCATCAGAAGCATGCTTGGAACACTACCATGGTGAATGACCAAGAGGCTTTGGCAGACAAGGACATGAAAGAAACAGAGGAAGAAACACGGATTGATTGGAAGGGGGAAAGGAGAAGCCCCATGACATTAAAAGAACAACATTAACAAAAACAGAAAAGGAGGAAGAAGTGGTTTGTCAACTGTGACAGCAGAACAGTAGAGCTGCTTCAATAAAAGAGAAGATCATTTAGCCAGAAAAATGAGGCTGGTAAGATGCAACTGCTGAAAAGTCAAGGAGTTTACATATGACTTTATACCTAATGGTGAGTGAACATGGGGCTGTGACAGGGAAATGATTCAGGATACACAAGGAATACATCTTACCTTCCATAGCCCCACCAGGAGACCAGGGTGTAGGCAAAAGATCTGAACAAGTCTGTCGCAACCGATCATGGTAGATTCCGTTAAGTGACTCAAGTCATACTTTGCAATTAAAGAATGCCATCGAGGTCTTTGAAAAACCATGCCAAAGAAAAAAGAGAGACGTGAGCTTTCCTATCTGTATCACTGTTACTACTCAGTGTATCTAAAAATGCTTTTGAAGAGCAATTTATACATACTTATTTACTCAAACTAAGTGGCACAATCAGTCATGACGTGGGGACATAAAAGACTTGCATAAATAAAACGCAAAATGGATACATTTGAGCTTTTCACCATACTATGTTTTCCCCACTCCCTTGCTCTATCAACTCAATGACCCAGCCAGAGGGGCACTGAAGAATTAGCATGGTAAAGCAGTGGCAGAACTGTCTTCTATTCTCATACCCCAACCCCCACCCAACGCCAAAACCCAGAAAAACATGACAATCAAAAGTCAATTCTCAATATGTAATTCTAATCTAGTGAGTGAAATAGTGCATAAGCAAAGGTAAGATACTTTAAGTTACACAAAAACAGGTAGTCTCAGTAGGATATCTGAACACAAAAGTCTCTTTCAATTTATCTTCAGGGAAACTAAGAGAGTGAAAACTGAAACATTAGAAAATAAATTTAAACCAAAATCATGATTGTTATCATAAAGGAGATACCCTGAGAACTCAGTGTATAAGAGTAAATATTCAGAGGTGTAAGAAAAGACAAGTCTGCGTCTCATCACAAGACTTAAAGTCATCTAGTGAAACCTTCTAGAGCACTATAAATGGTAGACATGAATGTCTGTCGTTCTCAGGAACCTAAAGATGATTCAGGGAATTATAAGAAAGATGAGATTTCATTGGTCAATTAACAGAGCACAGCCTTAGAACAAAGTCCCGAAGGAGTTGGGGCTCTAGAGCATTCCAGAGTCTGCCCCCAGCACCTAGCACACAGAAGTCAATAAGTATGCAAATGTTCATTAGGTAGAAGAATTTTTTAAAAGGTCAGCTATAGCACTGTTTCATAGCAGAGGATGCACTATAAGGCACTAGAGGCAAACCCACAGCTCCCATACCAGGGAATTGAGCCCTTCAAGAGAACTTATTGTGCTGAGAACCACTGGAAAAGAAGAGGTGGTCAGTGAGCATATGTGTGATTCACAAACTAAAAATACATTCAGCATATGCAGATTATTCCTGAAGGAGGATGATTTCTGATTTAATTGTGGGTTCAGGGAAACCTGAAGTGAACCCTTAGCTCCTACTGACAGTGTGACTCTTCCTCCTCAACCACAGCAGACAATTTCTTGTGTATGAGATCACCAGCCTCCTCAGGAGAGAGGTTGAAAAAATAAATGGGAAAATACCATGAGAGCATAGTGCACATGGCGGGTACTTAATAAATGGCAGTCACTGCCACTATCGGAGAGGAGGCGAGGTTGGGTGTGAAAATCCCTCTTCTCTCCCTCTCCAATGGGCCCAAAGGTTAAAAAAAAAAAATACACCAGATTCTGAGGATGTGCTGAGTTCTCATTTGCCTTGGCCTTACAAGCCACTGACATACACTGGCAAGGAAGCCAACTGAGATTCAATTAGAAAGCAATGAATTACAGGGAAATCCAATTTGCAAATTACATCAACAGTACTTTCACTGTCTCTGAAAAAATTCTCATTGTAGAAACAAAAACAAAAACAAATAAAAGTCATAAAGTATCTTCTTGGAGACAAGGATCTGTGCTGCCACATGATGATAGCACTGGTTCACAAACTTACAATGAAAGAGCAATCAAAACCAATGCCATGGTTGATCAGAGGCCAGCTAAAGTCCATGGAGTGTTAATGGAAATAAATTACATAAAATGTATTTCCTCAATAAATTCCAGCATTGCTCACTGTATATCATCCAGTATTCCTGACCTTGATGTCAAGTTTTAGGAATATACTGTTTTCAACTGAGTGTTACAATTCCACCTGACCCATTTAGTCTTTTGTGATCATTTTAATTAATGTTAACAGTTTTGTCCTAATACTTGTAAACAGCATTTCATGATATGCCAAGTAGCATGTTGTTCAGTCAAATTAGAACAGAATCTGTGGGCTCAGCCTCCAAACACTATTTCATAATGTGTCAAACCTAAATATTGTATTAGAATAATCTGGTACCCATCATGATACCATATACAATTTCAGAAAGTTATTCAAATAAAAAAAACTATTTAAAAGACAAAATAATTCATACATTTTTCATTGTGGCATCAAGGGCATTTTCAAAATACAAAACCTGGACTTACATCAGTGAGAAGTCTGAATGTCCTCATATTCACAGCATAAGGAGAGCTAAGTGATCACAACAGGACCACAGAGAAGCCAGACACAAGACCCACCTCCAGGGAAACCGTAAAGAGCACTGATCCTCCTGGGGACAGCTAGCCCTAATATCAGGCATCTGAACACCTTTCACCAAGGACAAAGAGAGACCGATGGGTGAATCTGCAGCATGCAAGAATAGCAAGAAAAGGGGTAAGGGAAGTGTTGCTGAAAAGTCCAAGGACATCGTAACAGTGAAAGAGGAGGGAGGGAGAGCAGGACATAAATTCTGCAGAAGGTAGATAGGACCCTTTCATCTGTGGTAGATTTTGTATAGACTATGTTAGCTTGCTCAGGAAATGGGGATGCTACATGCCATAGTCCAACTTTCAGGAGAAAATAACTGATAATGAGAAAAGTAGCATGAGAGATTTCCTGGGTAAAGTAAACGTAAGCCTTCTAATGAGTATGGACTCAGTGTAAAGCCACCTAACGACAGGAAAAGAGTGAGTGTTCAGTAAGCACTAGCACTGGGATACACACACCTTTGATATTGCATTTTAAATTGATAAGAGTCTGATCTTCACAGTAGTCCCCCACACTAAATACTACACAGGCACCATCCCATTTACAGATGTGACAGTGGAAGCATGCAAAAAGTTACATACACAAGGTCACACATGTATTAAGTTCAAAAGAAAGACAAGCAGAATAAAGAATTCATACTTCAACTATGATTGGTATAATCATTTACTAAAGAAAAATGTAATCGTTTTATACATCTTTCTATTAAAAACTTCAAAAGGTTAGCCATCAATTATCCAAGAAACTTTGCTAACTAGAACATCATTTCACATTGTTACATATAACCAATACATGAGGAACTTAAATTCAGACCTGATTTAAGTATAACAAAGACATTTTTTTCCTACTCCATGGTGATGCAAAATGGCAGAAAAGTCTAGGGTACAATCAAATTAAAATACATTAGCAATATTTTTGAATTACCAAAGTAATGCCAACTAATATTTATGTACAAGATGCTGTCATTTGAGAGTTCTGCAAATTAATACTTACCCATTTTTGGCAGGAGGTTTATGCCGGTCCATAAAAACTGGCGTCACACCACACAAATCCAAGGTTGTTAATGTTGCTAAACATGGCCAGTTTTTGCCATACCACACAACAGTAACTGATGTATCATTTAAAGAAAGATCAACATGCTGCATGATATATTCTTTTCCACTTTTTTCTCTCAATACAATTGCCCAACCTAAACCTGATATCCTGCAGAAAGAAAAAAAAAACCTAAAAATGTTTACCTCATTCTAGAAAATAAATGCTAAAGGCAATTTCATACATTATCTTGAAAGCATCTATTTCCGTGAAAGCAAAAATCAACATTCTCGGAACATGCACAACATAATTTTTGTTTCACCAGAAGTTCCTTTGTTATACTTTTTCTCCTCTCTTAAAACTGACTGAACATCTATGATGTTCCAGCAACTGACAACAGACGTTAAGTACAACAAAGATTCTGCCCAGAAGGAAGAACATCTTGAACGCCCTTGCTTTACTAGAGCAGATCATTAGGTTATTTCTGCTTTTCATAAAAACAGAAAAACTTTAGGCCACACATATAGAATAGGAATATACTGCATATTATATAGATGCAGAAAAACAAAAAATTATCAGCGACAGTTCCCCACACCTAAACTACACATCTGCCCTATGCACAGGACACTAAGAGCTGAGGCCACCAGTCTTCTCTAAAGTGGTTATAAATTGAAAGGTGCCACAGTCTGTCCAGGAGCCTCAGAGGTTCCCGCTCAAGGACACACTGCATACCTAAGGGCCTCTTTGGTTTTCACAGGAAGTCCTGTGTAGGGGCTGACAGGTTGGAGAACCTGGGCCAGTGCTGTCTTCACAGATGTGATCTGTTTTGCAATATATTCCTTCTTCCAATAGCCAGCTTCTTTATCCTCAACTGACAGTCCACTCACAGACACAGTTGTCTCCTCCACTGAGTTCACTTTCCAATTGGATCTTTTAGGTGAAAACACAGTTGAATAGATTCTGAGCCAAATAAAACTGGGGAAAAAAGAGAAAATACATAAACTAAGAGACATTGCCACACACCTGTATTATGCATCTCATATTAAATTAGAGATGCATAACAGTTCAATTCCATGAATAAGTAAAGCTGAACATTTACAACTGTTCATATGTTAAAGTGAACTGCACTTTGAAATGCAGTGCTTTAGATTCACTAACCCCAAAAACATATAAAAAATGGAAAAGTCTGTTTCTGAGGATAAAGCATAAAGTAAGCAATCTCATGTTATTTAGGATAATCCAAACCACTGCCTTGCTAACTGAATAGGAGTTCTATTCTAGAAAAATAAGAAGCCTATGTAGTACAAGTCTTATTTTTTTCACACATGCATGCTTTTAAAAAGATCAAAAAGGATACACACACAGAAATATCAACAGGGAAGAACTGAATTATGCATTTCTTTTGCTTCCTATTTTTTAACTTTTCAACAGTAACATGCATTGCTTTCTCAAAGATAAAAATGTGAATGTTATTGATAACACTAACAACAACTGTTAAGTTTTTTGGAGCAAATACTATATGTCAAGCATTTTTTAAGCACTTTATACACATTAACTCATTGAGTCCTCACAACAAACCCAGGAGGCAGCTCCCCACTGTAGAGATGATGCAGCTGAAGCCCTGATGCAAAGTGCTCTGGATCAGGTTGGTACACCCCAGGACACTATGGAACTGGGATTTGAACCCATGCAGGCTGGACTGGAGCTCTCATACGCATATGCTTCACTCTGTCTCCAATAACTGAGTAAACTAAACAAGGTTGTAATACAAATTCCCTTCAGATACAAAGTCTGTGTTCCTTCTGCTCACTGTTTCTAAGAGGCCAGTGAGAAACCCCACGTGCAGTGGTACTCAGTCAGTAGTGGGCTTAAGGTTGGACCACAGGTCTCCTGTCTCTGAGCTAATACTCTCCATCCTAGAAATATCAACTAGGGAAAACTGAAGCAGGGGTTAAAATCAATTTCCTAATCTGAAAGATAAGCTTCCCATAAATAAAATTTAATTATTTGCTATTTACATCCCTACATTTCTATTTAGAGAAGTATGGTATAAAATGATAAATGGCCAAGAAGCCTCCCAGAAGAGGTTGCTGCTGAGCTAGAGATACCACAGGTACCTCATTCACTACAACAGGAACGGATCGCTTCTCACAAAAGGACTTCAGAGAACCTCTCCAGAATTCAGTCATTTGCATGGACTTCCCAACAAATTCACACATAATCACAGGCCTAGTGACATCCCTTTCTGGTATGGTTTTCTAAAGTCATTTCTTTCACCCTACAAAATCATCTCATGCAAGGTAGTTGTATAAAAGCATTTACGTTTTTGGTTCAGAAATTTCTAAACTTTCATATGTGAGCCAACAGATGCAAAGTAATGATTAATTAAACATATCTAGGTAAATAAAAACTGTTTTACCAAAATCTCTCAAATACATACTTTTAAAAAACTCCTCCCTGTGCATAAAGCTTACTTGTGTTTTCCTCAAATTTACTTAAAATCTCATTCTACTTAAGTGTTCCTTTGTTTCAGCAAGATCTTTATGGAACTTCAAATTTTGCGGGAGGCAGGGGGGATCTCTGAGCTATCATAGCATCTTCACTCAGCCTTGAGACAAGAAGGTTTGATCTGGCATTGCAGTGTGGCTTCTTCCACTTGGTGCGATGCATGGGATCACTGCCTTCCCTGGGCTAGGAAGTCTGCTTTCTTCTAGCTCTGGACTTGGGCATAACCCATTGGGCTTGGACAGCCTACCCCATGCCTTATTTGGTGCAGAATATTCTATGGAAAAGCCTTTGTGTATCCCCCATATTAAAAAAAAAATGCAAGCTCACACACTCTCTTTTGCCAGCGTGAGGTCAAAGAGCCATCCTGCCCCAGCTTTATAAAAAATTACTTCTGTAATTTTAAAAACTGTCAAACATATGACATCAAGTCATTTCAGAACCTAGTCATGTGGTCTTTTCGCCACCAGCCTACACTACACAGAGGAACCCCAGAGGAACTCCGTTTCCACCACCCATGCAGGACGTGGGTGGGATAAATTTCTCCCATTAGCACACCAAACCACTGCAAATCTACTGATACATGGTCTAGTCCTCACAAACCACAAGAGCAAGCACTGCTGTGGAGAAGAGGTCAGATCAGCAGCCCCACATACATGCCGCAGCAGTGACTACACCATAGTGCAATGCTGAGCTGCATACACACACATTGGCACATTTAATTAACAAGTGATGCCTACACAAAAATGTTTTATATTATGGAATCACAATATTAAATCAGATTGTTCTTGATTATTTAATAAAAATGTTAAGGTTAAGACCCTTTTAATACTATCATTAAATATAGTGAGAACTCTCCAGCATACTACAGTTTTGGACACTAGATTACTATTTCCTTGAGAAATTCCTCACTGCATTATGCTTTAGTAAATTCTATCATCTCTTTTTGGGTTGTTAAGAAAAAGAAACATAAAAATTGCTCTCCATTCACTCTACAACTTATGTCAAGAACATGATTCATAATTTCACTCATTGATGTGTGTGTTGAAACAGATAGACAGACAGATATAGTTCTCCCATATAGGAAACATATTTTTAAATTGAAAAATAAGTAAAATCAATGCTTCCCAACCAGAGAATGATATACGTGCTCTCCTGAGTATAATAACAGTTGAGGGCAGCCTTAATGGAATCTAAGAGCTTATTTTGAGTTCCTTAAGTAACTGTCAAACATATGACATCAAGTCATTTCAGAACCTAATTTTCAGCAGTATAATCTGAAGAAATGTTAAAAACACAAATTCCAGAGCACTGAATTACAGTCATCAGAAACGCAGACTAGAAGTCCAAGGTTTTTTTCAAGACTTCCCAGCTGGTTCTGACTTCAGGTTTCTATTGACTAGCATATAAGAACCAACATACCATATAACATTTCTTGCCTGCCACATTCCAAGATTAAATTATATTATAGCCCTTCTTCTGTCATTCTATTAAACAAAACTACCATTAAAATCTGCATTTGCTGGGAAGTGATAATGGACAAATTATATTATTATACTGTATGCATGTACAAATTGAAACAATAAATCTCATCATTATGTATAACTATAATACACCAATAAAATGTGGAAAGAGGAAAAAAGCAAAAAATAAATAAGTAAAATCTGGATTCCCTTGATGTTTTCCCTCATGACACATGGATTCTATGTAGAATTAGTATCTGTGTGATCTTTCGATACGAATGAGAGAAGGGCCTAGAAGACCAAAATACTCAGTTGTGGGCACACAATGCTCACCAGATGTCAGGAGATCCCATAATCTCCCCACACAATATAAATTCTGCGGTGTGGGCAAAGCTGAGTGTCAAAACAGTGGAGAGATTTTTCTTTATTCATAGTCACCCTGGGAGCTCAGGCAAGGGTGACTCCCTGCTTCAAAGGCAACAGCTCCAGAGGATGCTGTGGGCCTCTCCTTCCCTCCTTCACTCTCCCCACAAGTGAATTTACTTGATTGGCAAGTTTTGGGGGAGGAGCTACATCTATTTAAATTGGTTTCTTGTGCTTGTTCCTCTAGGCTCTGCCTGCCTGCCTGCCAGAAGAAAGCATGTCATCTGGTCTGCAAACCCACGGCCAGGGACAATGGGGAAGTCTCTGTGGTACTGCTTGAGAATGTGGATGTGTCTGTCTAGTGCTGGGGTGAGCACACCTAAGAACCCTAAGGGAACAAAGCTGCAACCTCCAATTACTACAGCAATAATGAGCCTGATCTTATTCAGTATATACAAAGAATATTCCTTTCTTTAAGTATACAAATTCAAAGAGCTGAAAATATATGACTACATAAAGTATTAGACAAATTATCTCTATTTATGTCTAAAAATACTATTGAAATTATCTTAAATTTTTAAAAATATTTCAAAAGCTCTTAATAGTTTTCATGACTTCTATCAAATTGTCATTTTTTATTTATTTTTAAAAAATGACAGCAGAATGCATTACAATTCTTATTACACATACATATCACAATTTTTCATATCTCTGTTTGTATGTGAAGTAGGTTGAAACCCAGTTCATGTCTTCATACATGTTCTTTAGATAATGATGTCCATCACATTCCACCATCCTTGCTAATCCCCTGCCCCCTCCCTTTCCCTCCCACCCCTCTTCCCTATCTAGAGTTCATCTATTCCTCCCATCTTCCCCCTCCCTACTCCACTATGAGTCAGCTTCCTTATATCAGAGAAAACATTCAGCATTTGTTTTTTTGGGATTGGCTAACTTCACTTAGCATTATCTTCTCCAATGCCATTCATTTACCTGCAAATGCCATGATTTTATTCTCTTTTAATGCTGAGTAAAATTCCATTGTGTATATATGCCACATTTTTTTATCCATTCATCCGCTGAAGGGCATCTAGGTTGGCTCCAGTTTACTATTGTGAATTGTGCTGCTATAAACATTGATGTGGCTAAAAACATAACAGACTTGGTTTTCTACTTACTTGTCACTAGCCAAATGATAGAAGCGTCTGCTCACACATCCAGCACACAGCAGGTTCACAGCATCCAAGTAGGAAAATATCTTCAGCAAGATCTCAGAAGGCATTCTGAGAGGGGAAAAATCAGAATTGTACCAGTGCTTTATCTAAAAAACCACCCAGAAAACAAGTGGCTATTCATCTCTAAATAGAAGACCATAAACAGATTCCTCCTGTAGAAGAGGCAAATGTACTCACAAGGTTCTCCCCTTGTGCCAGAATTACAAATAATCTTCAGTTATTTTCTTTTTTTTTTAATATTTATTTTTTAGTTGTAGTTGGACACAATATCTTTATTTTTATTTATTTTTATGTGGTGCTGAGGATTGAACCCGGGGCCTCACATGTGCTAGGTGAGCCCTCTACTGCTGAGCCACAACCCCAGCCCCTTCAATTATTTTCTTGACTGAAATTTTCATTAGAATTCTAGTGACAGTCAGGGCATGGTGGCACGTGCCTGTAATCCCAGCAGGTCAGGAGGTTGAGGCAGGAGGACCCAAAATTCAAAGTCAGCCTCACAATTTAGTGAGGCCCTAAGCCACTCAGAAAGATGCTGTCTCTAAATAAAATACAAAAAGGGGCTGGGGATGTAGCTCAGTGGTTGAGTGCCCCTGGGTTCAATCCCTGGTTTAAAAAAAAAAAAAAGAATTCTAATGACATAAACCAATAAAGAAATCCTAAGGCACAAAGAGCAAACTTCCTCAGCATTTTAATCTCATAAACTAAATCAACAGGCATGACTTCACCACCCCTCTATGAAAGTATATATTATTCTTTGGTGAGATAAAAAGAATAGACAAGCCAGGCTGGGAGGAGCATGCCTGTAATCCCAGCTATTCAGGAGCCTGAGACAGAAGGATCCCAAGTGGGAGAACAGCCTGGGCAACTTAGTGAGACTCTGATTCAAATAAAAAGGGCTAGAGGTGTACTTCAGTAGTAGAGCACCCCTGGGTTCAATCTCTCCACTATCAGAGGGAAAAAGGAGGAAATAAAAGGACAGAGAGCACATTCTTAGCTATTAGTAAGATAAAGCAGAATCCCTCCTCCCCCTCAAAAAAAATGCTAAGTAGAATTAACTGAAATGGGGAATATCAGCTTATTTCCTACCTAACCTATGCCCTCTGGTACATCCTCTTCCTAAATGCTCCCATACTCTTACTGATTTCTCTCAGTTCTCAAAGAGACACCAAATCCCATAATGTTTTCTGAAGTGACTTTTTCAATTTTATGCCTAAGTAAATAATGTTGGATGTATTCTCAATATTCCATCAAGCACAGAATTCTACAAAGAGTACGAGACTCTGAAAGTGCCTAGAAGTGTTACCAGTGTTAATAAGTCAGGAATGAGTGTTTAAGCACCTTTATGAACATTCAGTAAAAGGGAAAATGAAATGAGACAGAAGATTGTATTAATGACTGGGGTAATGTGGTCTAGGGATAGACTGGGGGAAAGCCTTGAACCAATTTAAAATGGCTTTCCCATACTCTCTACTCTCATACTTGTGATTTAAATTATCAAAAAATTTGTTACTTATGATGGAAATCAGATGATCAAATGTGTCACAGTTCTGAAATTCTGGTAACACTGAGAGAACAAAGTGGATCCTCAGAAAAAAGCTGATGATGTATGTCACTGTACAAGTGCTACTAACTGCTCAAAACTGGAAACATTATGAGAGTCTAAATAGTAGCCTTGCTTAGGTACTAGTTAAATGCCTCCCCTTGGGGCTGGGGTTGTAGCTCAGTGGTAGAGCACTTGCCTGGCACATGTGAGGCACTGGGTTAGATCCTCAGCACCATATAAAAATAAATAAATAAAATAAAAGTATTGCATCCATCTACAACTAAAAATTTTTCTTAAAAAAAAATAAATAAAATAAATGCCTCTTTTCAAATGAATTCCCTTATGTTTTGAGCCATTAAATTTAACACTTTCAATGATAAAGGGTCTCTAATGCTACAGATAGCAAAGTTACAAGAAAATATGTTTTTGTGACCATTCAGGTTATCTACTGTACATAGTTTTTATATTTTAATTATTTCATAAGAATTCATACCTATTATTTTTTTAAATCAGGGTAATTTAAAAAAAGTTAAAGTTGGGCTTAAAGTCATTTCAGAAAAATATGTAGTAAGAATCATTTAACTAGAATGAAATCCCACTCAAGTTAAACATCAGATAGGATTTTACCTTCCTACCACCAAACTAACATCCAAAAAAGGGATCCTTTCTTTGCAATTCTGGCACAAGGGGAAAACCTCGCTTTATAGTTAAAATGGCTAAGATTAAAGTATTCTTAATTATTGTTCCTAAAGTTTCCTCCAAGATGAAAGCACCAATGGTTACACCCATATTGGGTTATTTTCTTTTGGGTTTTAATTTTTTCACATTTGCAGTTTTACATAGTTATTGAGGGAGAAGAAAAAGATAGGGGACTTGGGGAAGAAAAGTGACAGAGGAAGGCAAGAAGGACAAAGAAGTTTAAAGCAAGGAAACTGCTTTAGGCCAACAGGCTTCCCTGAGAAACATTGAGTTCATTTGTGATTGCTCACTTCAGAACTAAGGGAATTCAAACTTGAACATAACTTTGTCCCTATTTCTTACTGTGATCCACTCCAATACTTTTGCATCTATAATCTCTACACCTCTCTGCCCCCATGAGGATACTCATTTCCTCCTATCAAACCACCTGTGCTCTGAGTCCCTACTCATCCTCAAGAACCCCAGCTTTCCATTCATGCCCCGCTTTTCTCTGAAAACACTGCTCCAAATATCTCATCATAACATTATCCTCTTCCCTCATGTCTCCCTCCAGCTACCACACAATCTCTAAGACCCCCACACACAGCCAAGCTTCTAGGAAAGAACAGAAGAAAACAACTTGTCACACCTGCTGCCCCCACTTCGTGCCTCCCACATTCTTTTATACATTTCAGTGTGAAATAAAACATTCAAAAAACATTTTTAAAAATGGTGCCCAGCCATTTCCTTCTGCTGACCTGAAACAGTTCAAAGTTGCCACAGTCCACCCACTTTCCCTCCCCCCACAGCAGATACAGGACCATTCCTGGCTTTTCAGCAATCTCCTCTCCTGGTTCACGCAACACCCCTCTTGGATTTCTTGGCCCTCGCAGGCCTTCCCCTAGCTCCCTGGGTGCTTCTCAATGCCCCAGTCTTCCCAGCTCATCTTACGCCACATTTGCTTCTTTCTCCACTCTCTCCCCAGGACACCCCACAGTCTCCAGTAGAACAAACTCCTGCTGACCTCACCCTGAAGAAGACTCATGCCCACTGTCTCCTGGCATCCTCTTCTGTCACCACTGACCTTCTTCTGCCCCCACCCATATGAGTCAGCAGCACCTTCATTTATACATCTGCTCAAGCCGCCGACAGGTTCAAGCTCCTATCTGATGTCAATTTTCCCCTCACACTGACTTATCATTCGAAAATGAGTGATACCAATCACATCTAAATATTATCACAAATTTGCATGTATCTCCACTTTCCCTCCTTCAAAAGGAGAGAGGCAAAAAAGCAAACAAGATACCAAAAAAGTTAAATGACACCATGCCATACTATGATGGATGCCTGGCTTCACGTGCTACCACCACTGTTCCAGCAGCACCTGGAGCAGCACCACCACCTCCATACCTCTGGGTCCTCTTCTCCAGGCTCCTGAGTCTGTTCTCAGCCCTCACTTTCTATGCTACCCCCTCAGGGAAGTCTTTCTTTACCATTCTACGCCACTATTCTGCACTATGGAATCTATTTGTTTCTTGGATAGAATGTATCCCAATTTATAATAATTTACATTTTAAAAATCTGTCTCCCCCATTAGACTATCAGCTTCATGGGAATTGAGTGGCTATTTGTCTCCAAAAGTGAGCACAGCACCCCAGACAGAGTAGGTCCTCAAATACCTAGACAGATTAACCAAACTAACAAATATTTGCTCTATTTCCATCTCTGATTATTGTAGCCAGATTATATTCCCAGAATAAAGGGTTCTAAACTAAATTGATGTCCTTAATTATCTTTTTGGCTTTTCTTTGTAAAACCATACTAAAATATTCACAATAAAATATGTATATAAAAATATGGACACTATTAGCTGAACTAGTCATGATATATTATTAAATGCCCAGAATTTGAACACAGGAAACTTATGTTTGAATCACAGTTTTGCAACACAGGACTATGTGGACCTTACTTCCTCCAATGTAAAATGTCTCTCTATAATAACACCAAATTTTCAGAGCTCCACACAATGTTTAGCATACAGATAATGTTACTACAGTGCAAATCTATAGACATCTTATCAATTACAAATAACTATTTTTACAAAATTCTATGGGTCTTCATAATGAGGGTCACAGTATGGAATCTTGTCATAGAAAATGGGGTCCCAAAATACTGGTAGCTAAGAAATACAGAGAACTTCTAAGATTTTAGGAGAATGCATTTTAATCTTCTTTCTCTTCTTTCAATGGTCTTTATCAATTGAAAAGAGAATAATTTTATAGAACATTTTAATAAAAGGAAAATTCAATTTATGTGTCACTTTTATAAGCTTAGTTTCATAAAAGTAGTCTAATAAGAATAATGGTGACAGGCTCGTGACTCGTATCAAATTCTCTGTTGTACATTCTTCCTACACAATCCTATTCTTAGAGAGCTCAAAATAGCAACTTGGTATATACAGCACTATGACTTTCTCTAAAATCTCCATCTAGAGCCCCCAAAACAGTGGTCAGCTACTCCAGCTACTTACCTATCCAGAGATATAGAACAGTTAGAAGATTTCTCACTGTGCTGGCCACGTCTGGCATATTGCTTCACAGCAGTGTGGCCTGCAGAGGATTTGACACCAGGCCCCTTTCTGAAAGGAAAAGTGGGGATTCAAATTACATGACTGCCAAATGAGGTGAGTTTTCTGTTCCTCTCTATAAAATTCTAAAGAATTCATAAACTCCAAAGATGTCTCACTGTGAAACTTCATCTCTGCACAGCTCTATAAAGAAAGCATGGGAAGACAGGAAGGAGGGGAAGAAGAAATGAAGGAAAAAAGGGAGGGCAAAGAAAGAAGGTCCTGTGGCATGTGTCCTGGTGAGTAGATCTGAAGCCTGGACTTACTCTGATGTGTTTTCAATCAAAGATTTAATACCTGCTCTCATTACAAACTGTCAGCTTGTCAAAGAAGTGCTATGAAATGTATTCAATGGACACAAGAAGGAAAAGGAAAAATGTACTGACTGGCCAGTTATGATAATACAAAAGAAACATAATAAAGATAGCATCAAGAGCTTGAGATTTTTAAGAACTTTAGAACTCTCAACACAAGCTACAACTTTGCTTATCTTTGGGGAGATTACAACCAGTTCCAACTCTGTAGCTTTGGCAGTCTTGGCCACAGAAATACCAAATACTCATCCACAGTACTCTCACATTTAACATCTCACATTCAATGAAATATATTTTATTTGGCCTCTTTTTTTATTTTATCGAGTATATAAATTAAAGTTTTTACATTTTATGAAATAAGATATAACACTTTACACAATTAGTCCTTATCATGATCAAGCCTCAAAACTAGCAATGATTGATGGCAGTTTAAGGGGATATGAAACATCCTAGAAGAGTCATAGAGCTCAGATTTCTAGGCAGGATCCTTAAGATGCTAATTCTCTTGTAAAGATTTGGAATCTGCCTCTTGAAGCAATGTACAACACACACACATCAGTTACTGACCCATCTCCCACCCAGCATGTCATTCAAGAAGCAACTAAAATCTAGAGCATACTACCCACATGCTCAGTTCACTGCCATTACTTTAGAACATGTACTTTACTTACAGAGAGTTTAATAACCCTCAGTTTCTGTACCACACTGATTCCCCAGGCATATTTGGACTAACACTCAAATAGGAAGTAAGCAATAATTGGGGACCAAAATGAGGTGCCCAAAGCACTTCAAAGGAAGGCTAATTAACCCTCTGGAGCTGAAGAATGAAATCCACTTAAAATAGATCTTAACAAAGGATAATTTTCCACTTCAAGTACACCCTGCTCTTAGGAGCCACAGGTAATAAAAGGGTCCCTGGTCCAAGGTGTCAGCTGACAAGCCAAGTGACAGTGTAGGTTGAGTCCTACCACCAAGGTAGCACACCATGATGTCCACATGGCAATGAGCACTATGTTACCCAACAGCACACATCTGCTGTGATCAGCAGGCACCACTGCATGTACCTGAGCAGTTGAAGAATGAGCTTCTCTTCCCTGGATAGCTTTTCCTCTATAGAAACAAGCAGGACCTATATACCCTACATAAAGAAAACATGCCCAGATAGCTCCCATGAGAATATTCACCTCAAAGCTGTCTTCACTGGATAAAAAGATGGAAATAGCATAGTATTGGTTAGGTTGTATGGCTGCCATGCTGTTTACCTTGTGCAGACAATGAAGATGCAGTCCCAACAAAGGTGAAGTGCTTGCTGTACAAATAGATCCACAATGTCTTTCAGGAGTCTGCTTAGCTTGCTCCCTCACCTTCTTTAGGCACTTACAAATGTCACTATCTCACCAAGACCTTCCTTGGCCATGCCTCCTAAAACTGCATCCAGACCCTAAACACATACCCTTTATGTTATTTCCCTACTAATTTATTCCTTAGCATATGTCACCAATACTATGCATTTTAGTAGTCTGTCTTATTTATTATCATTGGGATGTAAGCTCCATATAGGTAAGAACATGTATGAGCTTTGTTCAGTGCTAATTCTTCAGCACCCACATGCATCTGGTATGCAAATAGCACTTAATAAATATATTAAATTAATGACATATTAATTGAAAAGTCAGGTCATATCAGAATACACTACATAAACGAACTTTCCTATTTCTCTAAGAGTAAGCACATGCATACAAAGGAAAGATCTGAATAGAGAGAAAAGGTATTACACACACATGCATATATACATGTGTGTGAATATGTATACATATGTATATTACATATATATATATGATTCATAGGATTAGAAGGTTTAATAGTGGTGGTGATTTTCAAGTGGGGACTGGAAGACTTAAGAGGCAAAACTCCATTTATTTTTCTCATTTTTTTAATATACTGAGTATGTAATAAATTTTAGGAGTAGTTGTTGCTTCAATTTCAAAACTGAGATCTCATGCACATAGCTTCTAGAAGTCACAGTTTGGCAGCACAATCCTTCAGAATGAAACAGTGGTTCTCTGAGGCATCCTGGCAAGTGCCCCCAAAGAAATTGAAACCAGATCTGAATAGAGACAAGGTATTAACACACACACACACACACACACATATATATATATATATATGTACACATATACACATATATGGATATACACACACATAAATGTGTACATATATGTGTATATATATCTATATATGTGCATATATATACACACACAAATAATGCATGCTCCTAGATAATTTATCTTCCTTTTTCTTACAAAAATTACCACTTAAATTATGTAATAATTTTCCAAAATCTCTGTGTTAATTTTAGACATCAGAAAGAGTGACTATGTGTCCCTTACCCAGTGGCACCTATCCATTTGAGAAGCACAGAGAGATGGGGCTCAGCTGTGTCAAAGAACACATACCGGCTCTATCCAGTGAGTTCTTCCTGAGAAAGTTAACTCAAATGTCCAGAACTTATGAAAGCCTGCTGCAGAAATTTTCAAGAACTGAATAAAGTCACCTGTTATGTAAATTAATATTTACATAACCTATAATGTAAATAAAATAATCTTCGTGGATTTCTCAAATTCAAGCTGTAATTCTCCCAAAGATAGTTTCAAATAGTGATCAAGCAGGCAAATCCTGTTTGGTCCTAGTTATTTAAAAAACAACAACAACAAAAAGTACCAAAGGCTTTTCCCTAGTCTGAATCCCTAAACCAGTAGCAAATGGATATGCCTCTATCTTTGACTAAACATTTAACAGGGTTCATTTAGTAAGTACAATTCTACCAATACTTCTTAGGTGGATACTCACAAAGTAATGTGCTAAGTGCTTTAAAACTTATTTCATCCTATTTCATTTAATTGAAAGTGAAAACTGTTTTTTCACAAACATATTTTAACACTTTAAAAATGCTAAAATCTTTTTTTCTGTTTTGTTTTTCTCACAATTAAAATACATCTCATGGAGTCCATCATTTCACAGAAGACAAAGGCTCTAATTAGGCAATTAAAGAGACTTGTTCAAAGTCCCAAGCTAGGGCAGGGAGCCCCAAGACCCAGCCTGCTATTTTTTCCCTTCAGAGGTCTTTTTCCATGTTTGATAAGATTTTAAATTTTGACACTGTTGAAAGCAGATTTCTATTCTTCCTAAAACCAACTGTACATTGTTAAAGGCCATACAATTAGCATATAAGTTAACTTGTATGCATGTTCTCCTGAGATCTAAATCTGAAGACACAAGTGGTGTGAAAATACTTTGTATACAATCAGTGACTTGAAAAACTGTACTCTATATGTGTAGTTTGAAATGAGCTACAGTCTGCCATCATGCATAGAAAATTAGATAAATAAATAATTTTTTAAAAGATCTATGTCTGATATACTTACTGGAGCATATTTGGTTTAAAACACTTTTTTTTCAAGTGACAAATTTTTGCCTGATAACTTTGAATAAGTTTAATATTTTAAAAATCTAATTTCTCTGCCTTCTTTTTAGTATCTAGTAAATCAAATCAATTAGGGTAGATAAAAACTGAGCCAACTTGATACATGTGCTGCTATATTTCTTACAGGTGACAGTTATATGTAGACTATTAAAATAGCACTTAATAAATGCTTATTCACATCAGTTTTCCACAATAAGACATTAAAAGTAATGCTTTGTTGATGCAGCTATCCACTCCTTGTCATTTACCCAAAAGAACTGAAATTAGCATACTATAGGAATACATACATACCAATGTTTATAGCAGCACAATTTACAATAGACAAGTTATGGAACCAGCCTAGGTGCCCATCAATAGAAGAATGTATATGGAAAATGAGGTATGAATACACAACGGGGTTCTACTCAGCCATAGAAAAGAATGAAATTGTGCCATTTGCTGGTAAATAGATGGAACTGTAAAAACATCATGCTAAGTGAAATAAGACTGAGAAAACTAAGGGTTGAATGTTTTTTCTGATATGCAAATATAAAGAGAAATAAGGAATTAAAAAGGGGGACCTCATGAAAACAGAAAGCAGAACAGTGGAGTAGAGGAAGGGGACTGAGGGAGGAGAGTTGGAAAAGGGCAAGAACTGCGGAAAGAAACAAAGTATTCTATATGCATCTATGAGTATATCATCATGAATTCCACTTTATGTATAACTGTAATGCACGGGTTAAAAAATAAATAGAAGGAAGACCAACAGAATAGAGGTAGGGGATCAGGAGGGAGAAGACATATAAGGGGGTAGTACTGGGGATATAAACAGCACAAAATTTTATTAAATGCCATTCATATGTCAAAATGAACTCCACAACTGTGTTAAACTATAATGCACTTTTAAAAAGTAGCTCCTCAAACCAGTTATTCTATTTTTAGCAGTTCCACACAGGACCCTGCCCTGCCACTGCCTCTCTTAGGCTTGGGGACCCAGGGAGGCCTCTCTGCATTGTGGGTGGCCGGAGGGCCAGGCTGGGAGCGGGAGGCGCCGCCCTACAGCGGAATCCGGTAAATGGAAGTCACCGTTTACCAAGTAGCGTCTATACCCGTTCAAACCACAGGCCGAAAAGCAGTTTCCCATGCCAGGCATGATGACTGGCACTGTAGTGAACATCATTCCACCAGGAAGTTCACTCAACTTACAAAGAAAAGATTCGTCATGAAAAAAGTCATTCTGCTTCCCCCAACAGAGCACTACATAAAAACTAATTTTAGTAATTGAGGCAAACTGACTTAAAGCTTAAGTTTCCTACTTAAAAGCCAGTTTTTCTGTTCTGCGTAATAATTTTTGCAAGCACTGTGACCTTCGGTTTGCTACAGGGTTGTGCTTTATCCAGCATTATAGCCTTTCACACAAGAACTGCTGTCGTGGCACTGAAGAACGGGGCTGTGCTTCAGAGACCAGGGAGGACAGATGCACTCCTCCAGTCAGGGGAGGGGGAAAAGAAAACTTGAGGTGACATCGAAGGCTTCAAGGCAATTGGCCTTTCACTTCGTAGCCCAGCAGCCTTGGGAACAGGGAATCCTCAAGAACGTACGATCTGAGCATTATTCCTCCACAGAATAACGGGGACAGGGCCAGACACAGCTGCGAGGAAACGGGGATGCAGAGCGGAGCCTCTGCGGCTCGCAGGCACTCGGGTCCTGTGTGGAACTGGCGACCTGGCCCGCGGCGGCGGCGCAGCGCCTCCCCGACCAGCCTCCACCAGAGGACCGTGCCGGGGAGCGACGGCGCCCAGCCGCCAGCAGGTCGGCCCCGGGGAGGTCCGGGGGGTTGCCCCACCTGGCCCACACCTAGGGCAAGGGGTGATTCCCGCCCCAGACTCCTGCAGACACCGGCGGGCCGCCCGCGGCGCGGCCTGGCAGAGCCTGCCGCGCGGGCGGCGCTGGGCTCCTCTCGGGAAGTACCAAAGAGTAGGAAACCCACTTTTCCAGGGTGAGGGGACCTTTCTACCGTCCTGCACCCTTTCCCGCGTTTAAAAAAAAAAAAAAAAAAAGCGCGCCACCAGTCACGTGGCGACGTCCGACCAATAAAAGCACTCGCTCCAGAGCAGCCGGCGGGGACGTCCGCCAAGGGTTCCCGGGTGGGTTAGACACGCCAGCGGACCCCACTGTCACCTGAACCCGGTGGCCCCGGCACACCACGCGGCAGGCCCCGCGCTGCCCCGCGGCCAGCCGCCACCCTGGAGGGGCCCGCGCTGCGCCTGGAGGCCAAGCCAGTGCTGCCTCAGGATCCGCCCGCGTCCGGTCGCCATGGAGACCTGGTGGGGCCCGCCCAGCGGCGCGACGCTTCAGAGAGGGCCTGGGCGCACGCGCAGAAGCGCGGCCGCCTTCGCGCGTGCGTGGACTGGCGCTACTGACGTTGTCGCCTAGCTACCAGATGGCGTTCTAGACGCTTTGGGGCCGGCTTCTTTCCCATGCCCCCGTCGTTCTGATGCCCAGGACGCCAAGCGTCAAGAACGCCGCTGGGACTTTACGACACCCTTGCCTGCTTTTTGGCATCCCCGTTCATTTTCACTTGGCTGTTGTCTGGTTTTCTTGAGAAAAAACACAGAAATGAAATTATTTGCCAAAAAGTTCAAATGGGCCACCATGAGGCGAAGGATTCTCCAGTTAACACAGCCTTCTCCAGAACGATCACGAGAACACACAGTTTACATCTGCTCATTTGGTTCTTGCAACCTCTGCTTGACCTACCAGGACTGAGGCACAAGTTCCTGCGGCCCCTCCCCCTGCCGCCGGATGATGAGCGGCGCATGCGTGGCCATACGCGTAGAGGCCTCTGGGAGGCGCGGAGAGGGACCACGCGCTTGGCCGCCTTGCATTGTGGGAGATGCAGTGCTTGCCGCGGCCCTCGCGCCGCCCAGCAGTGTGCAGCACGGTCCGGGAACTGCCATTCCCAGACACCCAGGGGTTTCCCAGGCTGCTCTGCGGAGCAGTAGGGCGTGAATGTCAGCGCGGAAGGGTCAGGGCGCTCTCACGCAAGTTGGAGGCCGGGAGGGAGGCGGGCGCCGTGGAACGTGAAGGTGTGGATTTGTGCGTGGCTGGCCAGTGGTGTTGTGGATTGCGAAGCTTTGCTGCTTGTCGTTGCGTCCCTGAGCGGGACGGCTTTCAGTGAACATGATGTGTACCGTCCTAAGAGCTCTGCAGTACGCCGAGAGGCTGCACCGGTCCTCGGGGAAGCGGCTGTTGCTGCCAGACCGTGGGCTTCACGGGGCTGCCTTGAAGACTCAGCCCAGTTTGAGGTGGGGCTTGCGAGAGCAGAAGAAAACGGCGCAACCTAGATCTGTTCTTGGACTCGTCCAGAAAACGATCTGGACACAGGGACCGAGCCCCTGCAACGCACCGGAGGACCGCCGCAAGCAAGTGTCGGTGCACCGAGATCGGAGAGCGGAAACCGCGGTCTCAACCTCCCAGAAAGGTAAAGGCAGTACTTGTCTTCCAGTCAACCTGACAAGAGCTGACAGTGTCCTTCTACCAAGTTTACACCTAAGGAGGGAAAAACGATTCACACAGAAGAACCGTTAAACTGTTTAGAAACAGGTTTCAAAAATTCGAATTTAGACGTATGGAAGTTGATCTTGAATTTGAGCATTTTGTTGCATACTGTCTAGGAGATTTTTCTCAGCATGTGTTTCAATGCCTATGAGAAAGAGAAATTGGATAGGATAAATTGAAGAGAGAGATATTATCAAGTTATAACCAATAGGAAAAACTCAGTAATCACTTCATGGAATAATTGATGCTGTTCCCAGATCCTGAGCTACACTTTGAAGACTATAAAATGAAAGACATCCAGAACATCCCTTGCCCTCACACATTAGGTGCAGTAATAGAACATACAAACAGGAAAGATGAAATGTAATTTAGTCGGGAAAGTCAAAGGTATTTTAACAGTCAAAGGTATTTTAAGTTTAATTTTTTTTCTTATTGTTGTGTTCTTCATTTCACAAGTATGTGGTAGAAAAAATGAAAGGCACAGAAAGCAATTCAGGCACTCATATGTCGCAGATAAAACAATTGTTTAGATAATAATTTGTGTTATTTCAGTTAATATTCCTAATTTTTAACAAAAAATGGTATCCTGCCAATTGTTTTGTAATCTGCTGAACATGCCAAAAATATAATCTTTTGTTTAGGATAGCAGTTTAGCACACACACACAAAAAAAACTGATACCAGAAATGAAAGATAAAGGTATGCATATGTATCAGTTATTCTGGCTCAAGGGCCAGTGTTGCTTGCACTACAGACTGGACCTGCCATAGAGTCCTTTCTTGATGTGGATCCCATCCAAAGGTGACAGCACTGCTTGTTACTCAGTGAATGAATGGGAGCAGTATTTTCAAGAGTGGAATACATTGCCTCCGAAATGCAAAAAGACCTGCCATGCATTGCGGTCGCAGTGTAGAATGCAAGAATTTGCCTTTTTTTTTCATGGGACAGAATGGCATGGCATGTCTGAGACAGAACCTCCTGCAGGTCTCATTGATATGGTTAGTGAGCCTCTGAATCTAACAATTTTTTTTGTTGTTGTTTAGGCCTTTGTCAGGCCCATCATTCACACATGAAGCACATATCTTACCAAATTTTCCAGTACACTTGCCACTTACTACTTATTGGCTCCAACAAAATGGCATCTACATAACAGTCAAACAGGTGATTTTGCTGAATGTTTGAAATAGCATTGTCCAAATAAAACTTTGTGCAATAATGGAAATGTTTTATATCTGTGTTATCCAATATGATAGCCACTGGCCACATTAAGAGAGTGAGAAAGTAAGCAAATCGTGGGCAAGGACACAGGTATCCCATTTTTATTACCATGCACTACTTCTGCTCCTCCTCAGTAGAGGTAGGAAAAAAGGCATTCTTCAGATCACCAATGCCATGAGGCTGTATAAATGTGCTCCCATAAAGTTCCCATGTTTGGCATTATTACATCTACATTGGGACTGCTACTTGGTTTAGTTTGCATTGATCCGCATTATTCTCTAGCATCTGTCTGGTTTTTGAAGGGGAAGGTTGGTAGGAGTATAATGGAGACCACTGCCCTACTCTGTAAGGTATAACTATGGCTTCCTTATAGCTTTGGTGAAGTGCCCTCCAAGCCCTCCTATGAAACGTGGCTAGCTGTTGGGTTCAGAGTTCTCTCTAGTATCCACTCTAGCATGCCTGATGAGCCTTTGCTCCATTGTTTGCCACTTCTGTCCTCTCATTTTCACATCACTTCATGGGGACCATGGCTGTTTCTAAGTTTCCAAGAGCAGACATGACTGCACTTCAGTTCCAGGGGCACTTACCTGATTGTTATGTTCTTGATCTCAGGAGGGTACCCCATGTAAATCAACTCTCAATCAGCCATGTTTGTATTCTGTGACCTTGACACACACCCTTTAAGAAAAGGTCATGTATATGTTTTCCAAGCAGTATTCACAGTATGGTTTATTTTTCTCCTTCTCACACCCAAGTTATGTTGTACCTTGGCCAGGAAAGGAGGTTGTAGACACTTCTTGAGGAGAGTATGTGTCTTGCTAGGCAGAAGCCTCACCTGGTCTTTAAGAAGTAAGACATTATAGATTTTAATGGGGAAGGAGTGAGCCGCTTCTTCAGGAGAATCTGAATATAACAGATTTTTTTAGAACATTGACCTCAATATTCTTGTACCAAGCTTCACATTCCTTTTACGCCCCAATCAGGGCATGGCCCTGGCTTGGCAGAGCTGACGTGTTTGCCATGCCAGCCTCTTGCTACTCTATTACCTTGGCCCTGACCCTCAGCCTTTTCTGTCTTCTGGGTGCAGCATGAATCTCCTATGCCCCAAATCTCTCTTGCCTTTCCCACTTCACCTTCACTGGTGAAGATTATTACCAAACTCTCCCCTGCCTTACCTAGTACATCCCTCCCCCACCCACAACCATGCAACCCAAGTCCTAAAATTTCCTAGTCCTCCAGATTTTTCAAAATAACACCAACCAGTGCATTCTTGTTTCCCACTATTCCATTCCAGCTCATCACCGTGGGCAAAAGCTGCAACAGTTGCCTAGAACTGCGTGCTGGGGCCTGTCAATGCTCCATCTACCACCAGGCACGGAGAGTCCTCATTGCCAGTGAGTGGCTGGTGATCCATTTCCAAAATTTCAATTTGGAACTGCTTCATTGGACCACTCCTGGTAGCACCTGTTGTAGATCATCCCAGGGAAACAGACAACAGATTTGCATAAAGAGGTTTATTGGGGAATGTTCTGATAGTACATGTTGAGGGGTAAGGAAAGCAGTATTGGCAGAGGGAGGAGCTCAAGTGCACTTGCAAGAAGGGCTTCAGCCAGTGGTCAATGAACTCTGAAACTAGGCAGGCCATGACCTAGGTGAGAAATCTTTTCTGGTGAAGGAATTTGCAGAGAGGAACTGAGAACTGTCAGCTACCACTCCTCCCTGCAGCCAGCAGTACCCATACTGCACCACAGCACCCACTGCAGGAAGTGTGGAGAATTGTAGAAACAAATACTAATGAGGTTTTTAGGTATGAAGATAGGTCTAAGAGGTCAAGAAGAGTAAAGTAAGCAATGAGCAGCTTCCATTGGTGATACTTATATATTAGCAATAGAAATTTTTTGAATGCATAAAATGTGGATAATATTCAGCACAGCCTTTATACATAGTAGATATGTAGTAGCTATCTGTGATTGAATAAATAGAAAAGACAGCCTATCAGGAATGAATGTATTGAGAAAGAGACAATCAGAAATCCAAGGTATGGAGCCTGTGACCTGATTCAGGTAATAGGCTCAAATGAAGCTATCAGTATACTTCCAGTTGGGGGCTGGTACACTACTGGCAATTGATAGTTATCAAGGTGTTATGACAGTAATGAGATGGAATGAGGTGGTGTCACCATAGGCTTTTCCACACCTGAACCTAAGTAAAGAAATGGGATTTGTGGTGACAGTTATTGTTTAGATCAGTCTCATGAGCTGAACAGATTTGGCAGATGCACTATTTTTATTGTTTGAATCACATCTTTTAAGGTAGGATTGTAGCTCAATGGCAGAACATCCCCGGGTTCAAAACAAAGAAGTCTTCCTAAAGTGGTGAATAAATCAAATATATAAACTAATGCCAAGGAAGTAGTGTACTTTTTCAGCATCAAAAAAGCAGTGTAGTTGTAATTGCAAGTTTTTGCACAAACATGTCTTGATTGAATTTATTTAGCTCCCAGAATTTCTCTTTAATCCATCTGGGCATCTTTTATCTATGTGGGAAAAAATAAGTGCAGTGTAGTCTCTTTGTAGGTTCTTCTTTTTTTAAGTTTGTTTGATTCATAATTCTTCTGTTGAGATAAATTCCTGTTCTGAATTCAGTTGTCTTTGTATTTTATGCGCCAGTCAGTGGGGTTACAGAAGGATGGCATTTGGGAATGTTACTGACTGTTAAGGTTTAATGATCATTTTGGTCTCTTTGGTTGACAAGCCAATACTTCTTAATCTGTGCACTGGACCTGTGTCCAGAGCTGCCTGATACGTGGCACTTGTTCTTATTCTAAGAGACTGGATGAGGAGTCCTCCTCTTAGAAAGTAAGACAGTATCAAGATTATAACATTAGATGAAATAAAAACTAGAGACTTCTAGGCACTGCTCTGAGATCCTGCTAAAACTCCAAAGCATAGGGAGATTCCAGAGCTGCCACTGAGAAGGCACCAGCACTGCTCGCTTTGACTCTGACTTCACATGTCCCCTGCTGCAATGCCAAAGAAGCTGGAAGTGGGGCTGCTCAGAGGGGATACACCTGTGACTCCTTGGCATTTTCTCTTTACAGTGAAAGAAGCTGGAAGAGATTTCACCTACTTAGTCATCGTGGTCATTGGAATCGGCATAACAGGTTGCCAAAAACAGCAAGTACAACATCCCTGAACATTTTTTTTTTACTAACATATCTTCATCTCTCACTCTTGGTTTGCTTCATCATCTTTTCCTGTGATTTTCAGGTGGCTTGTTCTACACGATTTTCAGAGAACTCTTTTCTTCATCCAGTCCTAGTAAGGTATATGGGAAAGCCTTAGAAAAATGCAGATCACATCCCGAGGTTAGTTCTCTGATGAGAGGGAGAACATGTGGGGGAGGCAGAAATGGGCCCAACTAAAATACCAGTTCTGAACCCAGGGGATTCATGGAACAGCACATAGTGGTTGGGTTGTGATTAAGTGTTTGTTCTGTACTTGAAATGCTTGGATCACAAGCACCCAAAGGTCTGTGTGTGGATGTTTTCATCCTAATTGTACAGTGAATTTTTTACTAGTTGCTCATAGATAATCACCAAAGTGTCAAACTCAAGCAGTCTGTTTCTAGTCTTTTAAAATAACTGTTTCGTGGTCTTGTGATCATAACAATAATTGTTAACATTGCCAAAAGTACGTCATGTGCCAGGCATTGTGCTTAGTGACTCCGTGCATCATCTCATTAAGTCTCGAAGAGGCCCTTGGCATTAGGTCTTACTCTTGTCTCCAGTTGCAGAGGGGAAAACTGGCACTATTAACTAACTCAGCCTCAATCACTGAACTAGGTGAGAGCCAGAACCCAAATCCAAGCTGGTCGGTTTCCACATCTTACCCTGCTGGGCACAACCTTCCTCAGCCATTCCCTGGGAGGAGTCGACATGCAGCCACACTGTGGTTTCTGAAGGAACCTTCCAGAAGAAAGGCTTTAAATCATAACCATCCAGTCACAGTTTGCAAGACATGGCCGTGTGTGACAGATTCCTTACTCCCTTGGGGGAAAGCTTCAGCATTGAAAAGCATTCCTTGCTGAAATCCTAATTTTGATACCTTGAAAGGTGACAGCAGATGGCATCATGAATATCAGGGCCCAAGAAGTGAGGTCAGAGAAGCAGAGTCTACAGTCCTCAGCCAGGGTCAAGATGAAGGCCACAGGTTTTCTCAGCGTGGTGTGCTGTGCTGGGTTCCCTGGAGCAGGGCTCTGAGTGCTTCATCAGTCTCTGGTCGTGTCAGGTGTGTGTGGCTCAGCAGCCAGTGGGCGCTGGCATTTTTCTTTTCAATGTGTTGATTTCTCTGAACTGGACTCTGGTTGTTAGTCTGTGTGAACCGTGGAGAGGGAGGCAGGAAGTGAGAACTGTCCCTGAGAGAGTTGAAAATGGGCAGGGACTAAAAAAGGTTCCTACTATGGTTATTGGGAATCAAATTATATCTGGATTGATCTAAGTTATCTGCTTTTATAGTTGACAAAAATAATATCAGTAGAAACCTAGTTAGATATCAGGATGCATCTCTGAGAACAGGTGAAGAATTTTTGTGTTTCACGAACCCAGCATCTCATAGAATTCACGGCATTTTGAACAAAAACAAAATCCACAGAATAAACACAGAGTATGATATTACTAGGGCCAACTTAGTTTGCTTCCAAAAGGAACTCTGAACAATAATTAAGTTTTAACAATTTAGTTTTGTCAGTAGTTTTTAAGGTCCCAAGGCTTCTTAGGCACCATGCTTGATTAAAAAATAGGATTAAAAAATTCTAATGTTCTGATACTGATGTGTTTAGTCTATTAAGTAAATTATTTGGACAGTGGTTCCTTGGTTTCAGGCACACAGATCTTAAATATCTCTCATCTTACATAGTATCTTTTTCTTTTGTGTCTGGAAATTGTGATAGTAAAGATGCTCAGCAAAGGGACAAAGACAATTTTACAAAATTGAGGGTCAATTTTTTTCTTTTTAAGTTTGACATCAAATTTGTATTTTTTAGAGAGAGTCCAAAGCATTTGCTTTTTAAGTTAAATAAAAAATACATTTCTACTTCATGTGAATTTTACCATTAACAATAGTAGATTCACACCTGATTTTGAATATGCTATTAATTCTTGGGTTTTTTCCCTCACTGTTTGAGTAACTTGACTCATTTCAACATCACAGTTTTGGGCATTAAACCCCATATATTAAATGTCATTCAAAGTGTTCGTACATTTTTTACCTTGAAACCAGGACGTGTTAGAGGAATGTTTAGGCACTGTTTTGTGTTGTTTTGTAAACGAAGTGGAGCAGCTTCCTCTAGCCCACCTTGGCCACTACAGGTGAGTGCCAGAAGGCCCGTTTCCATTTCTGGGCATGAGGTGACTTGAGCTCTTCAGGGATGACTTTTGCTACACATCCTCCTTTCCTGGCGTTGGCATCATTGAGTCACCGTGGTTTAAAGGGACGGGCCTGCCCGGCTTTCCCCGAAGGCACGTGGTGTGCAGAGCCGCTCCCTGGAACTGACCAGCGCCTTCTCCGCAGGTGGTCAGCGTCTTCGGGGAGCCCGTGAGAGGCTACGGGGAGATGACGCGCCGCGGGCGGAGGCAGCACGTCAGGTGCCGCGGGCGGGCGAGGCGGGTGGCCTGCGGGTGGCCCTGGGGACTGGGTCTTACTTCGCCCGCTTCCTCCGCAGCTTCATCGAGTACGTGAGAGACGGGCTGAAGCACCTGCGCGTCAAGTTCTACATCGAGGGATCCGAGCCGGGCAAGCAGGGGACGGTGTTCGCTGAAGTGAGGCAGGTGGGCCAGCGGGGCCAGCGGGGCGGCCGTGGGGCGGCCGTGGGGCGGAGGAGGGCGCGGGCGGCGCTGGGAGGCAGTCAGGCTGGAGACGCGTGCTTTTCAGGACCCGGAGGGTGGCGAGTACGAGTTTCAGTACGTGTTTGTGGAAGTGGACGCCTACCCTCGAAGGACTATCGTGATCGAGGACAACCGAGGCCGCGAGGACTGAGCCGGCAGCCTGCGCCCAGCAAGGGCGCTGCGCACTCCCGACAGCGGAGGAACAGGGTCTCCGACAGCTCAGACAAGCCACGTTAGGGATTTTCTTGTGAAAAATCATGAAAGAGAGCATATTTTATGTTTCCTCATTAAAATGTCGATCATGACAGCATTTTTGCATCTTTTATGATGAGAATTTTTTGTTACTGAGAAAGAACAGATTTCAATATTTTATGCTTTTTTATATTGTATAGTTGTTTTAAGCCTAAAGAATAAAATTACAACTAAAAGAAAGATGTCAAAAGCACCTTCCATTCGTGTACTTTGGAATCTGACATGAGATACATGTGAAAATATTTGGGAACTGTAGTGAACCAGATGAAGAATACATTAGGAAAGGTTCTACACGGGGTTTTAGAAGCCCATCTCACATTGCCTCGGCACCAGATGGGAGCATTATCCCTAGTGGGAAAAGCGAAGGATCTGTGGCAGGTGCCCGGGCTCTCACCCCTCCTCTCCTAGTTACCTTAGCTTGTCAGCCCTCACCAGAGGTTGGGGTGACTGAGTGAGATGAGCGTGCAAGTGCCTGAACCAGGGCACCATGAGGTGTTTCCAGCCCACTCAAAGCTTATGCTGATACTTCACATTGCTAAGAAAAGCCTAGAAAGCAATGGAGGTCATTTAAATGTGTGTATTAGGTCTTTTTAAATTTTTTTTTTTTTTTAATATGACCACCCTATTTAATTTGAAGTCTTTGCTAGGAATTTCTTAAAAAGTGACTTCCTCTTAAAAAGTACGTACTGCTCATGTGACACTTAAGTGCTGTGTGTACTGGGTAGTTTAGAAACATCTTTCTCCATAGTGGCTTCGGAATGGTGTCTCTGCAGTCACGTGTTTCTTCTTCTCCTGCAGAATTGTGAGTTTAGGCGTTTCCAATGTATTCTTGAGATTGTAGGCTATTGGGGGTAGAAGGACTCCCAGGCTATGTCACCCACTTAGTTTATCTCCCTCCTTACACTAGTGAGTGTTTTGGTTTAAGTGCTCGTTTTAAATGATTAATTTTAATTCTAAAAATCCCAAACATGTAGAAAGTGTGGAAAGAATCTGAGCAATGTGCTTGTCTCCCTGCTGTAACACATGTGAAGTGACAGGCTGAGCTCTGGACTTGGGCTCCGTCTCCTAGTTAGTGTTTCCTGTCCATCCCAGTAGAATGCTCTATTCCTGTGTTTTTTTATTTCCCTGAGGTGACAACATGTAACAGGCTGAGAAGTTCTTCCTGCCATGTTAAAATTCAAAAAATCAGACCTGATTTCAGACCTCATAGCAGTTGTCAAACTGCACCTGGACAAAGAACCCTGGCATCTGTGCTCAGGTGGGGATTTAGTCACCCTCTCTAACCCTGTTGTTTGGTTTAACACCATTTGCTTTCTCTGTATTCAGCTTTACTTACCTCCCATTTTATTACATACCCATGTCCCTTAAGTTCTAAGCTTACCAAGTTACTTTCATGTATGTTTAAGAAACCTAATTATTTCAAAAGGAAACATTTCTGAGCCCATGAGAGCTTCTTCTATATAATACAGAAAAACATAATGTGTAATTTTTTGTTTACCTATTTGAGCATCTTTAACCAGCTTTTATTCTGGCATCTCTGTCCATAGGCTTCTTCTCCCATCTTCTCTGAATTCAGTTCAAAAATCTCGAGGACATATCTGACTGCCCAATATCCCTCCTCTATCATTTCTCTGCATTTACAAATGATTTGGTCATTGTCTTCTCAGGCGGTTGTCCCTTCATGCCCAGTCAGTGAAATTTTATGAGCATTAAGAGTCAGGCAGCGTTTCCTCTCATGGTCTTTACCTCCTAAATGAAGAGACAGGTTTCAAGTCAGAAGTTTTGTGAGGTTCTGCTTACTGAGGAATGAGATTCCAGCCTAACTATCTTGCAGGCCCCTTTACAACTGTGCTAGGAATGCTTTATTCATTTCCTTCCATTTAGTAAACTAATACAGGGATGTTACTTCTGTTTCTTTTACTCTTACCCAAATATAACTTGCCAACTTCTAATTGATGGATTTCCACTTAGGGATATACTTTTTTTAAAAAAACTATTTTAATTTTTCTTAGTTGTAGTTGGACACAATATCTTTATTTTATTTATTTTTATGTGGTGCTAAAGATCGAATCCAGCACCTCACACATGCTAGGCAAGTGTTCTACTGCTGAGCACAACCCCAGACCCGGGATATACTTATTTTATATACTACTATGCAGTAACCCTACTGTAGCACCACTCAGATATGCCATGTTAGATTTCATTCATTCGTTCATTCAAGAAATATTTATTGAGTATATGCTATATGTCAGACCCTACATTGGGTGCAGAGATCCATAAAAAGAAAAATAATGACCCTTGGCCTTGAGGAACATCAAATAGATAAAATACTCCAGTGGAGTTGTGACAATAGCACGGGCTGTCTGGGACTTCAAAGAGGAAGAACCATTAGAGATATGATCATCGGAGTATAGAATGCAAGGGAGGATGAACACAATTTAGATGTGCCCCAAGGCCATCCACCATAGCCACAAATTGACTTAAATGTTTCTCTGATTTCACAGATAGCTCCTATCATAAGTGAAACACAGACATAAACTTTATTCCTAGTCAGCATGATCCAATGAAATTAGGTACAGACAAATCAGCTTAAATAGGTCTACTTGCTCTAAAAAGAATGTTAACTGTGTAAGAGCCAATGACAATACAGGTCAAGTACTTACTCCTGTGAGCTGTGTGAACTGCTATAACTGATGTGACCCAGGCTCCTTACGACTCCATTTGTGGTTGGTGGTCTCCTGGTTTGAGAACTATTTTGTGTGCACAATAAACTTTTACAATTTTTTTAAATGATCTGATTTATAGATTATCTACATCTGCCTCTACCAGTAACTTTGATTTCATTAAATGCTCATTGACTGACATGATTTTTTGCCAAAGATTTATCAGCATGTACAAATAGGTATTATTGTTTATCATTTTATAAAAATTAATTGGTTATATCTCACCAAGTTATTAAAAGAATATCAAGGATTCAAAATCACAGGAAGATTCAAGATAATTCTTAATATATCAACAACAACCAGAAATCAAAAACAAATACTAATAATTCATGTCCACAGTAATTGACACCAGAAATATAGAACTAATTGTACATAAACATCAGCCTACTTAAAATCACTGTAAGGAAAAATAACTCATTCTGCAAAATTGGGCAAAAAAAAAAAAAAAAAAAAAAAAGCCTACCCTGTTAGATTACATAAAGGAACTAATATAAATAAATAAGTTTATAATATAAGTAAACAAGTGAAGCATTTCTCTGTCCTGACAGCTTATATTTCCACCCAGAATTGATAGTGTAAGATTTTTTAAAATTTCATAGTAGTCAAATTAACAAGTATTTATTGAGCAGTTCACCTGATGAACTGCAATGATCAGTACTATACAAGGAAGGAACTGGTATTCTTTGAAGCCCTACAATTTAGATCAACTAATTATAAGATATTTAAACATACAGTATAGAGTTTGCAATTCAATGTGCTGATTTACCAAATACCTACATCACCCTACAATGTGCCAATTGTTGTTCCATGCACCACACAAAAACACCTTTCCTCCATGACAACTCCAAAGCTGATCCCAACAGTTGGGATTTCCGGATGAAGTAACAAAGCTAGTAAGTGGTAAGATAGGATTTGAACCTAAACAGTCTATTGCTGTCACTCTATTATGTTCCCTATGCTGCCTTTTGTTCTAAACTGGATTGAGGGAGAATGGTAAATCTACCATGAGATGAGAGAAAACCGTAAATTTATTTGAGACTGATAGGGAAGGAAGAGGAGAAGCGGGTGGATGATTGGCCGATGATAGATGAATAGATTAGATAGATAATAGATATGCAGGTAAGTAGAAACAAGCAGATAGGAAGGCAGAAGTCAAGACAGGACACAAAGGTAGAAGAAAAGACTAGAAGAGTCATGACACCTGTCTGGCTGAATTGTGACTCCACAAAGTTTATATGTTGAAGCATCCAAACCACAGCCCCTTAGGATATGCTTTAAAAGAAGTGATTAAGATTATGTAGATGTATGAATATATCACAGTGCATTCCAATTGCATATATATAATTATAATGTACTAATTAAAGAAATAGATCACACTGGGAAGATGGTAGAAGAAGTCACTTTCCTGGCTGCTCCAGGGCATAAAACCAAGAAAGCAGGCAGCTTCTCAGCAAGGTGGGTGGGGGAGAAAGGGGGGAGGACTTTATGGGGAATTGATACTCGATATTCAAAGCAGATTGGGGACTCAGGAAGTTGGGAAGAAGTCCCCAGCACTGTTGCTGCCGGAGCCATCTCCTCCTCCCCAGTCCCCTCCCCATGAGCAAGTGGAGGGATAAGGAAATTAAAGAGCCCACATTTTTAGGAGGCCTATGATATGTCTTGGTTCAGAGAGATCAGAGATAAAGACAGTGCCAGACTAACCTGAAAGGAGTGCTGCACAATATGCTTGTGTGGGAGAGAAGCCACATCTCTCCCGGCAGCCCACGGAGAAAAGAGGAAGGAGACATTTCGCAGCCACACCCGTGCAGCCAGCAGCTGTGGGAGTTGATTCGTGGCAAACCTGAACTGGGCCCAAAATACAGGCCTGGAAAACCCACACCACACGACATGGTTCCTAATTGACCAGGATAAATCACATGTGGAGAGGGGTTTACATGGGGGGTATACAGGCCATGGAAATTCACCCAGCTCCAACCCTCCCCCTCGAATCTGGCAACTTGCAGGACCAGCTGAGAGAGACTTGACCAGCTGGGGACAGGAGTGATTGAGTTTGGAGATGGAAACTGAGAGAACAGGAGATGTAGGGGTCCATGGGTGGTAGAGGGAACAAAGGAATGGCTTCTCCAGTGCATGGAGAGATTCCTGGGGTGCAGTCCCCCAGCATGGACTGGCAATTGCCCTGGAGGTGCGCTGATTTAAAATCTTCAGACCAGTTACCATTAAACAAAGAAACTGGAACCTACCTAAGCCTCAACCCTGCCTCCAGGAGTTCCACCTCTCATACTCCAGTAGCCCCATGCTGAGGGTGGGCAGACATTACAGTCCAGTCCACCCCACCTAACAGCTGAAAAGGGAAGCCAAGAATTTTTCGAACTCCAACAGAAACAATTCTTTAACTTTTCATAAAGAACATTTTTTCTTTTTTCTTTGCTCTGTTTAATTGTGAACTGAATAGTACATGAATACCTATACATATTTGTCACTTTTTTTCTCATTTCTAGCATTTTTTGAAGGCAGTTATTTTGCATGGCTTAGTCTTTTAAAGGCTAGGATGTTTGATTAGTATATCTTGGTTTTGTTTCGTATTCTTTTATTTTTTTAATTTTTATTTTATATTTTTTCTCTCATATCTCTTTCCCTTGATTCTCTTCTACTAACAGGCAAACACTATTGTTCTTTCACTCTTCCTTAAATTTCTTACTTCTCTTTTCTTTCCTCCTCTCTCATAATCCTCACACATCCTAGAACTTATAATCCTTTTGCAAACTTACTGTTTTTATTGTAGACAATACTTGATCACATCATTTCTGTTTATTGTGACAACATGTAGATGTCATAGTAGGAACTGTTTGGTTTAAGGCTGTATATTGTTTACATTAGTGGTTGTTATTATTTGTCTCCCCCTAAACAGTGAGGTGCTGGAAACTTTCAGGGACACTATAAGTCCACAAGGTAGAAACTCTCCTGCCTCAGATCCATACTGTTAGATAGTTAGACACACAAATAATATGAAAAAGCATGGGAAAAAAACCACCCCAAATGAATTTTTAAAAAACTTCAATAAAAGAATCCATTGATACCAGCACAGTGTAAGAAATGTCAAAGAAGGAGTTTAGAAAGTTCATATCACAGTGAAACTGATCTGCAAGATAAAGAATGTTATAAGGAATACAATCAGACAGAAAATTGAAGTGAAAGATCACTTCAACAGAGATTTTGAAAAAATTCAAGTGGAAATCCTCAAAATGAAGGGATCAATAAAAAAAAATTCAATGGAAAGCATCAGCAGAATAGACCACTTGGAAGATAAAGTTTCAGGCAATGAAGAAAAAACATATAATCTTGAAAATAAATCTTGACCATAGAGAAAAGATGTAAAGAGACCACGAACAGAACTCCCCAAAAACATGGTATAACATGAAAAGAGCAAATATAAGATTTATCAGGATAAATGAAGACTCAGAGATATTAACTAAAGGAATGCACAATCTTTTCAATGAAATAATATCAGAAGTTTTCCCAACCATTAAGAATAAAATGGTAAATCAAATACAAGAGGCTTTCAGGGCTCCAAATATACAAGATTGCAACAGACCCACACCAAGCCACATTATTAAGAAAATCTAACATACTGAATAAGGAAAGAATTTTTTAAATTGTTAAAGAAAAATGACAATTAACTTTTACAGATAAACAATCCAGATCCCAGTTGATTTCTCAACCCAGATCCTCAAAGGTCTTGGAATGTTATATACCAAGCTGTGAATGAAAATGGATGGCAGCCAAGAATACTACACCCAGTGAAAATAAGCTTCAGAATTGACAATAAGATAAAAACATTCCATGATAAATAAAACTTAAAAGGCTTCACAACTAGAAAGCCTGCACTACAAAACATACTCAAGAAAACATTTTATGAAGAATAAATGAAAAATAAAGATGAAAATCAGCAAAGGGAAGAACTACACCAGAAGAATAGTTAATTAAAGGAGATATTAATTCAAATTAAACACAGAAATAAATCAA